TGTGCTGCCTTTTTTTTTTTTTTTTTTAATGATTTCATTTATATGAAATGCCCAGAAAAGAGAAATCTGTAAGAAACTGAGAGTGGAGTGATGGTGGTTTTCTGGCCCAGGGTGTAGGCACTGGGACTGACTGCAGACAGGCATGGGGTTCTCCTGGGGGTGGGGCCCGGGTCTGCACATTTGGCACAAGTTTAAGTTGATTGCAAACTCATTGACCTTGTGCATAAGCACGGGTGCGCTTCACAGGGCGTGGATCATGCCTCGGGAAAGCTGTTCAACCAGGACAACAACTGTAGCTGCGTAAAAGGATGCTGCTCGTTCTGGGGGGCTGACGGGCACCAGGCACATCTTTTCCTCTCACTAGTAGGTGAGGAGAATGGTGAGTGGGCCGCTGGATTAGGCAGGTGCGGGTCGGGCCTTCATGGGCACATTGCCGACTGCTCCTCGGCTCTGAGCACCGAGTCACTTGGTCTTCAGGGGAGGACACAGCTTATCTGTTGAGTTGCGTCCGGTGCCCGCCTTTCTCATGGTTGGCCTTGTGAAAGAGTGGCGGCTTCGCACTTGTAACAGGCCCTGAGGTGATTCTGATGCTGTTGGTTCTGGGACCATACTTTGAGAACCACCGACTTAGCGTAATGGACCTTTGAGGGTGAGAGGCAGGAGGGTCGAAGTCTCAGTACCCACCCACCAGTGGGCACAGCACCTAGCCTGCTTCTGCTCTGTCCTGGGGCCTCTGAGCCTGGCCTCAGTGTGTGGAGTGTGATGAGGATAAAAAGAGGTTGGTAGGAAACACTTTGAAAATAGAAGTCTCTTATTAGTGCATGATTTTTTTCGTCATTATGTGTTCAGGCTCTCCAATACTCAGCCGTCTCCACCTTTCATCGAGAACTTTGCTTAGGCTCACTCACCTTGACGAAGTGGGGCCAGGCTGCCACACCTCCGTAATGATTGAAAACGCCTTACCCTTCCAGAGACTCCAAACAACTTAATCTTGGTCGTTTAATTTTTCTCTCCTCACATTTGAAAATGGCAAACGGAAGAGAAAGGTGTGCTTCTCACCTTGTTCTCTGTGGTCGGTGCTCGCTGAGGAGCAACTGTGAGTTCCGATGGATGCCCTGCATTGTGGCCACTTGAATATTCCGGTGCTGAACATTCCTGAGAACAGGCTTTCCAGCAGAGGACGATTGCATCAGGCGACGGGCCGACTGAACTTCATGAATAATGTCCATAGCAATGAAGTGCTTGTTTGTTAAACGGTCTTCTGCCCAGCCTGTCTTAGGTGCTGAAGTCTTCTGGCCTCTGTTGCCTTTTTAAAAGAATGTCTTTCAGGGCCATTTTAAGGTCTTTGACAGCGGTCTGTGGTGCTACAGTGGACCTCTGCTCTGACGAATTTGGGGTTCTCAGGAGGAAAGGTGTTCTTACATTGTTTACTCGAAGCTTTTGTCTCTGGCTCCTTCTCACTGGCCACTAGGTGGACCCAAAGAAGCGGATTTCTGTAGGGAATCTCCTGAACCACCCCTGGATCTTGCAGGATTACGGCTGCCCTGTGGAGTGGCGGAGCAGGAACCCTGTAAGTACGCGGGTGTGGGCTACGTGAATTCAAGGCCTATGGTGCTGCACTTGAAACATGACGGAAAATGATAATTTGTAGACTTCTTCATCAAATGTGTGTTTGGGAGACTTGAAACCTAATGTTAATCTCGGGGACAGTGGTTCTCAGCCCTGGCTGTGCGTGATAGTCATCTGGAACGTTACTGGAAAAAAAAAAAAAAAAGATTGGGGAGGAGCATCCCATAATTATAAGTGGGGATATTTGAAACCTCCCAGGTGTTTCTCATGTGCTGCGGGAGTTGTGAACACTGCTCTGGGTATCTAGGGCAGGTAATTTAACTTTGCTTACTGATTTATTTGGTTATAAAAAAGGTAAAACCAGTTGTCTCCTTCCCAGAGTAGCTACCAGGGTGCAATGTTTCTCAAACTTTTTAGTCACAGCACCTCTTCTCCTCTCAAAATCATTTATGAATGCATTGAAAAGTAACAGGAAGAAACCTATGACATCTTATCAGATAAAGTATTTTTATGAACGATGACTATTTTAAATACACATTTAATGAGGAGAGTGGCGTTCTCTTGCATTCTCGCAGGTCTCTTTAATGGTGGGCTGCATGTGGGACACCTGGCTGCTCACCTGCTTTTGCACTGGGTTATTTTGGCTTCTTTTTTCCTTGAAGTTGGTGGAGAGATTGTGCCTCACATAGATAACGTAGTTAGGAAAGGGGGAAGACTTGAACGATCTTTTCAGGTGATTGGGAATGTTCCCTGACATTCCACTAGAGCTGGACAGGAGGTAGTTTCTTACAGTCAGTTGCATGTGGAATCTGAAATCATATCTGGGAACGTTTTGTGCCCTGTTATTAAAATCCACTGATCTGTCTTGCACTTTGAATGGCTCTTTTTCTCATGCATGATTTTGTAACATTATGCATTGGTTATCTGGAAAATATTAGTTGCTGAGTTACGTAAATCTTCCAAATATTGGTACATTTCATTACACACCATCTAAAAAATTGTGCTCCTGATCTCAGAACACTTTCAGCATCGGACAGCTGTCAAGCTCATGGTGGCAGATGGAAGTTGTCCCAAATTCTCATTTTTGCCTTAAAGCCGACACTGTATCAGGTGACGGGCACCATCGGTTGTTTACCTTGAAGTGACATGTTCCCTGTATTTTTTTTTTTTTTTTTTTACTTTCATTGTGGTGAAATCATATGCTCCAAGACATTCACCGATATAACAACTTCCCCATTTATAGCTGAGGGACAGTGATGCCATTTTTTATGTTGTGCCGTCATTGCTGCTATCCCTTTACGAAACACTCCACCAACATCAGCATAAACTCAGTGCCCTGCAAACAAAAGCTTCCCCCTCCCTCTTACCCCTGGTAACCACTACTAATGTTTGGTATGTGTATATTTAGATATACACATACATGTTTGTGTGTGTTTGTGTGTGTGTGTGTGTATTTATATGACAATTTTCCCTACTCTCCCATTCCTGGTAACCAACAAAGAAAATTTCCTTCTGTATAGAAACCTGTCCTTGACTTTTTACAATAATGAACTAATACAATATTTGTCCTTTTGTGATTGACATATTTTACTCAGCATAATGTCCTCCAAGTTCATCCACATTATGTGGTGTTTCATGGATTCTTCATTATTCTTTAGGGTTGCATAGTATTCCATTGTGTGCATGTACCATGGTTTGGTTTTCCATTCCTCTGTTGATGGGCACTTAGGTTGTTTCCATCTCTTTGATGTTGTGAATAGCACTGTGATGAACATGGGTGTGCATGTATCTGTTTGTGTCCTGCCTCTCACTTCTTTAGAATATATACCTAGTCATGAGATTGCTGGATCAAATGGTATTTCTCTTTGTAACTTTTTGAGGAATCACCTTACTGATTTCCCTGTACAGTTTTGAGAAAATGTATGCCAAATATCCAATTCCAAATAACAGAGTTTGCCCATGAGTGTTCCTTCAAGTACGAATGGTACATTTTGGAAAAAACCAAACGATTAGTTTGACTCCTAACAGTCACACTGTGCTTTTCCTCCAGAAGGCCATGGTGCTTTGGTCTCCAGCCCGAGTCCTGTACTTTCCATCTGGTAATGCAGGATGTTACAAAGATGTAGACGCCTGTGCTGAGATGTCATAAAATCCTTTCTGCTGCTTCACCAGGGGTGTCCTTAATGGAGATGGACTTCCTTTAAACTGTGAATGCCCGGCAAAGCCAGCAGTACCTTAGCTGCAGTCGGTGCTGCTGTGTTGATTCCCCACGAGGGGGCGACAGTTTTACTCATTGTTGCTTTTGGGTCATCAGTACAAACGTGAGAGAACATCCCTGAGTTATGGTAACATATGGTCTGCCTGCGGAGGTCCTTGCGTTCTGCAGACACACCTTGAGAACTGCTCCACCACCTGCCTCTCACTTACCATTCCACACTGATGACAATAGTAGATTAAAGAAGTAGCCACCATCCCATTGTTTTGCGTATTATTGAGGTGGCAGGCAGGGATGGCGGCCGCTGTGCGGCGTCCCCTCCCTTGAGGAGGGTCGGGCGGCTCTGGGCAGCCGGGCCGTGGCTGTGCTCTCAGCCCCTCTTGCGCATTGGCTGGGCCTCACCGTTGCGAGCAGGCGTCTGCTCCGGGTTCCCAGCTCCTAGGTGGCCTGAGCCTCTCCGGCTCAAGAGTGCCTTGCAGTGGGAAGGGCGGAAAGAGGCAGGGGTGTGTGGGGAGCAATGCTCGCTAGCTTAACGACACCCCGGTGTGAGCAGAAGGGGGCCTGGATTTCCACCCTGGTGGGGCTGGCCCCCCGAGCAGGCTCTGTTCTGTGGAGGCAGGGGGGCAGCGGTGGGGTGGAGCCCTGGAGACAGCCCCTCCAGGGAGGCTGACCCAGCCCAGGCCCAGGGTGACACGGTTAAGCCAGGACCCTGCAGTCCCACAGCCTGGCTTTGTCTAGCTTTGTCTCCTCCAAGCCTCCTTCTCTGAGAGGAATAATCCATCAGTGGACTTGTCAGAGGAGCTCTGGTGGCGCTGTGGGTAAGACGTTGGGCTGCTGACCAGAAGGTTGGCAGTTGGAATCCACCAGCTGCTCTGCAGAGAAAGATGAGGCATCTGCCTCCATAAAGACCGACAGCCTTGGAGACCCTCTGGGGGTTGCTAGGGGCTGGAATCGGTGGAAGTGGGTTTGGCTTGGTTTTGTGGTTTGGGCTCATCACAGTGATGGGTCCGTGACAGTGAATGTCAGCTGTTATTATTGCTTTGATCATGGTTTCTAAATTAAAAACAAACAAACAAACAAACAACTGAACAATGCATGGTCTGAAAACAAAGGAAAAAACCCCACACCGTCCATTTTCGCCTGAGGCTGATGTTTGCATAGCCACCTGGTCTTTAGACCCTCACCAGGTGGATGAGTGTGGGATGGTGGGGGGTGCTGCCAGGGCTCCCACTGGTTCATTCTGGTTTGGCCCCTTGCTGAGAATTTTCATTTCCACCCCAGAGATAACGACTCAGAATTTACATTTTAGCAAGATTCTTGGGTGATTCCTAGGTGTACATAAGTGTCGCCTGGGGATTGTATTGAACTATAAACTCATTAGCACACAACAACATTTACAGATAGGGAAACTGAGGCATGAAAAGGTCGTATCGTCATTAGGTGGCAGAGTTAGCACTTGAACGCAGGTCATCTGGTTCCAGACTCTGCTTTCTGCACCGTTGTGCTGTTCTTCCTCTGTGGTGGGGAACACAGAGACCCACTGGTGGTGGGAAATGAGGAGAGGACTGCAGAGGGGCCCCACTCGAGTTCCCCTTGATTTTGCAGTGGAGTGGTGCGTGCACGGGGTCAACGGACTGGCTTGGCGGTGTGTTTCCGACTTGGCGCAGCACAGACTTGTTTCGGCTGTGGGCTCTTCGCTTTCTGGAATAGTCACACTCAAACATACTCTTCCCTGTACAGGTCAGATGGTCGAGGAGCTGGGAAAAAATAGAGTGTGCTTGAGTCTAGCCCCTTGTCCCTGTCCTGCCGCTGGTTAGCCGCACACCTGAGCTAAAATCCCTCCTGACGCCACTCTGGTCGCTCTCTTCTGTGATTTGTCCCTGTTGCCTGTGGCCCTCGTGACATCTTTAATATGGATAGAGCAAGTGCAGTTGAGGCCAGAGTCTCCCAGCTCCCCACCCACACCGGTCCCCTGGGAGCAGCGGAGCGCGCTCGGGTCCGAGCAGTGTAGCACAGCTGGGTAGTGGGCACATGCCCTCGTGAGGGGCACAGAGCGGCTGTCGTGACTGCCGCGTTCAGCCATCGGGGGTCACCGTTTCTCCACGTGTGGGAGAGCTTTGCGTCCTCAGCCAAGATGCTCATAGGAGAGGGCACACAGCTGTGTGCACAGAGCAGACGCCAGCATGGAGACTGATTCCAGTAACAAAAATACTTCTTAATCGGGGCACAGTGTAAAGTAGAATATGTAAAGATTGGAGTGTTCCAACAGAGTGGGTAATTTCCCTTTCATTCCGATCATTGCTGTTAATTTGCACTGGAGTAACTGTCACCACGGCAAGGCTGTCTGTATGTTGTCTGTAGTACAGTGTGGAGCGAATCCTTAGCACGGTACCTTTCACGGTCAGACCCATTTACTCCTCACACCACTCAAGTAGGTGCTCTGAAGGAGGTACTGTTGTTGTTTGCTGTCGAGCGGCCCCGACTCATAGCGACCCCTCCTTGGCTTTCCGAGGCGGTATCACTACAGAAGTAGGATTGCCTAACCTTCCTTCCAAGGAGTGGCTGGTGGGTTTGAACTGCCAACCTTCTGGTTAGCAGTCAAGTGCCTTAGGCACGATGCTACCAGAGCTCCTGTCTCCATTTTGCAGATGAAGGAACTGAGACAGACTCATTAAGTAATTTGTCCAACTAGGAAGTGTGGACCCAAGATTTGAACCAGACAGACAGGCTTCTGAGTCAGCTAGTTCAAGCTCAGGGCCTGCATCCTGCACATCCATGGCCTTTGT